AATACAATCAATGATAATATAATTTCAAACATATGAATATTTTAATAAATTATACAATAATTGGTGATTGTATTTATAATGTATGAGAATTTAAAAATTAATAAAAATATAATGATTTTAAGATAATGTTTCAAATAAAACCCAAATTTTATTAAAAAATTAAAGTTTAACAGAAAAGTAATAGAAATTTCAATTTATATTAAATTAAAACATCTCTAATGAAAATCAATTCTTTGTCAGAATAACTGAGAATTTTGTTTACAATTATTGTCAGATTTTAGTTGTAATTGAGTACTGAATGAGTGTTTTATCGGACAAAAACAGTTTTGGCATTAAATTCATACTTTAAATATATGGAGAAATATTAAAATTCTCACAAATCAATCAAACCGTTAATAATTGCTTTATTTCTACAAATTTAGTTATAATTAGTAAAATAATGTAAAAATTCCAATACTTTTATATAGAGTATTCTCGAAGTGAACCGAGTATTCAACAGAAAGAGATTCGTAATTCAATATGCTTTTTAAAAATAACTCTTTTTTCTTCATAATAATTATAATTATATTATTTATTTGGCAATTATTTGAATAGAAAATAATAGAGTAAATCATATGAATAATCAGATCACCAGTATTTGGCATTTATGCTTTTTAAATGGCAATTATGTTATTAAATATCAACAAATTGTACGCTTAGTGTGCATTCGTTTCATTCTTTGGCTTATATTATAATATGATTTATAATTCAAAGTAGATTTCAAAGGAACTAATCATTAAAAAAATGAAATAAAAGATTCATTCGTTTATATAATTTCTAATTTACATTATTTTTATATAAAATGTGTTCACCTCTCAAATAAAGTCTGCGATGAACTTAAAAAAAGTTATTTTTACAAAAACAAAACAAAAATCGCTTAATATTTGACTTATGCGTTAAAATTGCAGATTTTCCCAGCGATTGGACATTTTTCACTAAAATGTTTCCTTTCATTGAATGTAAAAATCAAAAAATAATTATTAAATGAACGCTATTTTCAAGAATTATAAATTTGTTTGAGAAAAAGTTTGAGCTCTTCTCTGCAAACCTTAAGCTATTTTATATATGAATATATAAATTGAATATATTTTTATGCTAAATAAAGAGCACCTCTTTGTTCGTTGCTATCAGTAAAATGACATGAAAATGAGAAAAAGCAGATCATCTCATCTATACATACATTGGGGACGACTAGTTGTTCACTCAATTAAGACAAACTGAAGCCCGCCTTACCTTTTACTACAAATATTATAGACCTATTGCAGAGATAATAGTTATACAATTAAGTATAGTATTAGTTATGTTTTCATTTTTCATTTGCAATTCAAAAAGAAATGCTTTTCTCGAGAAATTTCAGACAATTAAAATCGAGAAATCCTTCCCAACCACTAGTTATGTGTCAATAGTTTTTTGCAAACAAAACCAAATAAAACTAATCAAAAGTGTCATAACAATCATAATTTAGATTTCATCGACAAAACAACTTTAGTTTTGATTGTAATTCTTAATTTAAAAAAGTTTGTTTCATCTAATTTGACCAGAAATTTATTCATTACTTTGGTTTTTGAATTATTTTTAAGAAAAACTAGTTATTTGTTTATAATTTGATTGATTTGTTCTGTAATTTAAATATAAAACTAAATTTGAACAAAAAATCTAATGACTGACCAGATATGACACAAATTAACATAAATAGACACATAAATAATTACAATAATCAAAGCACTCGTTGTCGGAAAAGATACAAATCTAGAAACGAATTGTAGAAATCATTGTTTTTTCGTTCATTATATAAGAAATGTTTTTTGTTTTGTTAAAGTTTTTTAAAAGACTAGTGTCTGAAAATGTAAAGCAATATTAATATAATTATAATTTTTCATATAATATGATCGTCAAGAATGCACTTATCATTTACTGCACTTGTCTTTGGATCAGTTAATGGGTGTTTAGTGTTTTGGCACAGTTATGGACACACCGTTGTTGAACCGACTAATTATTGTTATATAATTGTTGTGCAACTCGTCGTAACAATCGATAATCAATTTGTTATTTTATACAATTTATATCATAAAATGGATTAATTAATAGTTTTGAATATATTTTATATTATAGTTGAATGACTAGAAGTCGATAACTAATATTTTTTTAGAAGAATTGCTAACAGTTTTGTCTTACAATTAGATAAAACTTTGTCTTTTGTTTTTAGAGAACATGTAATGAATTAATTGAAAATAGAAATACTTATCGTTGATTTGAAACCTAAATCTATGGTTTGCACTAAACTGTTATAACAATAGAGTAAATAACATCAAGAGATTTGCGACATTGTTTTTGGCCATTATTTTTATATTATATATGAATAGACAATAACTTTTTTGTTTCGATGAAATACTTAATGAAGCGATGAATGAAATATGCGTTTTGCAGAGATTGGCGTCAGAAAAATCAATGCAAACCAATTTCAATGATGCATATAATGAACGACTTTTGCAAATAAAAAGTGTTTGGCTTAAACTTATTGGACGTATTGTTTCCGAAATTGACTTTCATGTGAACAGTTGTCTTCAGGTGTTTTCGGGCGGATTCTTCACTCAATCTCTGTATGGCTTACAGTATGAATACCTATGATTCATATGCTGTGAATACGATCCCGAATGCGAGAACCTCTTCAGACACTTCTTGCATTGAAATGGCTATCAATGAGACGACAAATGCATTCATTAAAACATTGATTACTTCATTAATGTGCAGATTGTCCTCACCTTTTCTCCGCTATGAAGTCTCTTATGTTCAGTCAAATGGTGTTTGTGTTTGAATGCTTTGTTGCAAACATCACATTTGTGTGGCCTTTGACCTATCAATTCAAACATATTCAATTATCTCATGCAATGTCACAAAACATAGATGTGTCGTATACTGTAGATTCAAATGGTGTTTGTGTTTGAATGCTTTGTTGCAAACATCACATTTGTGTGGCCTTTGACCTATCAATTCAAACATATTCAATTATCTCATGCAATGTCACAAAACAGATGTGTCGTATACTGTAGAGTACATACCCGAGTGCTCGTACTTATGTCTGGCCAGAGAGCTCTGTTTGCTGAAAGTCTTATCGCACTGATCACAGGTAAAGAGTCCCATACCATCCGCTTGTGAATTAGCATCCGGTGGTGGACTTTGATCGTCACTATTGATCACATTATCAGTCGTTCCTTTCCATAACTTTGAGGGCGAAGTAATCGTGTGTTTACTTCTTGTAATAGAATTGGTGGACATGTAGTCATCACTTGGATTATTGCAATCACTTTGAGATTCGATGTCTTCACAGTCAGAGTGGGAGCGTTTGAATGACTGTCTCGAAGTGGGGGTCTCTTTAGAGTCGTGCGAAACGGTCGGTGAGGTTCGGGTCATTCGGTCGGTTGATTGCATAGCAGTTCCGTTCATCAAATTCATGTCCAACTCTTGCGAATGACATTTACTCTTAAGCATCGAGCGAACAATCGATGTCTGTTCCAACTCTTGTAACTCTTTTTGTTGGTGTTGTTGAATGAGAGTTAACGACACGTTATTTGGCATCTCATCGTCGGACGTGTCGTGACTTCTACTCGACTTTTGGCTCAAATTCAACACTTCTATTGAGTGGTATTTCTCTTCAGATTCTGAATTTGCAGCAAAATCTTCAGCCATTGATTTACTTCTGACGGATAGGTCTAACGGCTCGTCCGTAAGACTGTCGGAGCGACTGCTGAACGACTTATTCAAATTGGATTTCATTGAAGAATTCATAGAGAGTTCGTTAGAATTGAGATAATAAACGGCGTTATTGTGAATGCGTTGTCCATAATGTGACAAACCATTGATGTCTGGAGCGAATGATGTGATGGTTGGGGAGAACGACATACTATCGGATTTATTGGAGGCCTGTTAGAATTGAGATAATAAACGGCGTTATTATGAATGCGTTGTCCATAATGTGACAAACCATTGATGTCTGGAGCGAATGATGTGATGGTTGGGGAGAACGACATACTATCGGATTTATTGGAGGCCGGCTTATAGTGAGGAATGGATATCGGCATCAATGGGTTGGCTATGGAATGGTGTGTCGAATGGAGTGATGGCGAGAAAGATGTCATAACTCTCTGAGCTTTGAAATCGTTTGAATTGAGTTCACTTGACATATGAGAGGCTGTAATCGGTTTCCCGAGTCGTCTATCGCGGGCTCTGTATTACACAATAAATGAGTAAATTAGTTGAATTCATGTGAAGAATAAGCAATGGATGTAATAATACCTCATATTCTGGAACCACACCTGAACGACACGCGGCGAGTAATTGACTTCTTGAGCCAACCTAAGGATGTCGTGCTTCTTAGGCCTGGGATTGGCCTCGTATTGTGTTCGCAGCACTCGGAGTGTCTGCTCTCCGAGAACGGAGCGAACCCTAACTTTCTTGCCGTCAGTTGTCATGACTTCCTCTTCGAGCGAAGAGGAGTCGCGTTGGGATTCGTCATCGCTTTCAGCGGCACTCGAATTGATTGTATTTGAAATGTTATTACAATTAATATCTTTGTTGAACTCATTCAACGATTTATCGTTTAGAGAGACACGACTCTTGCAAACATGACTCTCGTGTTGATATAAATCTATTTTATTTTCAAAATATTCATTACAATAACGACATCTCAAATACATGAGAGAATTGGATAACGATTTTTTCAGATCGTCGGGCGAATCGATTGGTGTGATTTGTGGCAGAGGTAGTGATGACATCGATAATGTCAGCGGCGAAGGGTTTGGTGAACGCATCTCTCCATACGAGCCATTCATGGATTCCGGACGAGACTTCGTATCGACCGTCGAGTCCACGATTTGTAATATCTTTTTCACAGAATTCAAGTCATAATTCTCTAAAAGGCTTTTGTCCGACAATTTGGTTAAATCGAGTTTCTTATTGTTGTTATAATTGTTTGAATACTTGTCTCGATTTAATTCAAGCTCTTTTGCGACGGTTTTATTCATTTGTGATCTGAGTATTGCATTCGCGACTTCGGGGTAACTGGAGATCGCGGTCGACAAGTAATGAGTGGGTAAACCAACAGAAGCTGCGGCCGCGGAGAAGAGCACCGGATGAAGGCTTGGCATAACTCCCGGCGAGTAATTCGTTGGCAAATAATTGGCAAATGAAGGACTCTCTGGGAGACAACGGTTCAGATCTGAGTTGAGATAAAGTGGCGCGAAGTTGTCGTTGGACTCAGTCTTCAATACTGAATGGTTTCGGTTGGAAGTGATGTCGAAATCCTTCTTGTAATTCATATTATTCGAAGACATCTTCAAATTGGTCTGAGTATCAGAAATGTTGGCTAAAAGATCCAATTTAGTCATTGGAGGGGAAACACCGTTAGCCGTCACACCATTTGTGGTCAAATGATTGCTTCGATTCCTTTGACCACGAATTTGGTCCACTTTTCTCACCTTTGGATAAACAATACAATATTCAATGAATCAATAAATAGGAGTGACATAAGAGATGTATGTGTGAGGGGTGTGTATGGTATGTATGGGCCATACTTTCAAGTTGACAACGAGGCACTTCTTGCTTGTCATGTGCGAGGAATAGGATCCCGAATGTGAGAAGCGTTTGGCACAGTTGGGACACGCGAAGGGCTTCTCTCCGCTATGGATTCGGATGTGCTCTTTCAGGTGATGCTAAACAATTGGGCCAAACATTAGTGACCGGTGAGTGAATTGGGAGTGAATTGGCAGATGAAGACATACCTTGAATTTGAATGCTTTGAAACATTCGGGACATTTGAATTTGCGGAGGACTTGGCTCTCGTCGTGGCTGAGCATATGGCGCTGTAGACGGTATACGTTGGCAAAGCTTTTATTGCACTGAAGACAATACTGGAGCAGAGATAGGAGATGGCAAAGAGGCAGACATGCAGACAGTGAGACAGAGCACAGCTAACCCCCGAACTCACAGACACTTACACCTAATAATTGCATGCAATCCATGGCAGGCATGGGATGCTCTCTACAGCTTCTCAAACAAATTGTGTTTTATTCACTCTAAACTTAACTTTTCGTCTCATTTAATGGCTATTACTCTAATAATTATAATAATCTTATTTTGAATCATTAATAGCCAAGAATAGGAGTTTTATGTTTCATTTATTTAAAATAATTAAATTTTAAATAAACAAATCGATAGATAATAAATGCATTGAAGTTTCAGAAAGTGTTTGTTATGTGAAGTGTTAGAGCGGACAGTAATGTGAGAAATAATGAATGAGTGCTCACCTGTCCCTGTGATGAATGAATTAACTCATGTTTTTCCAACTCATCTTTTTGTGCAAACGATGCCTTACATTGGGAACAGACAAACGACTTATCGTCTTGTGTTCGGCCGACCATAGCGTCAGAGGAATGAGAAGCGGATGGAGAAGAGGCCATATTGGACTTGGAAGAGGGGACTACCACTGCATGAATGCTATTGATGTGCTCCTGAAGGGAGAAGGAGGACCTCTGGCCGCGGAATATACGCCCGCAATGAGGACATCGGGAGTGGAGGACATTGAGCGGAGCGGCGGTCGTCTCATCTGAAACATGAAATTAAACCAAAAACGATTAGTCATTGTTTTGTTGGGCAAAAAGAGCTGATGAGAAAATATTTGTCTGCAGTGAGAGGTCAGAGGCATCTAAAGGAGCGGAGAGTCTGACAGACAGGCAATCGAAATGAAATGTATGGCAAAACTGAGAGAATGAAAGCGAATTATATGGGTCTGAGAAATGCAATTCTGTGTCTCTCTATCTGTACATCTTATATATGAATTGCAATTGCAATCGATTCTGTAGTAAAGCTGGTATACAACAAATTGCCGCCACTTGTCTCTGAGGCCCCGACGCCGTTATCTATCATCCGAGTTGTCAATGCGAAGGGACAGGCGATGCGGTTGTGACGCGTCTCACGAGACAAACGTATGATTAAAAAAGAAATGCCAAAAGATTTCTTTATAACACCACATATAAAATACTGATACAACACTCACAACCATAACCTAACTCGCATTTGAGTACAACTTAACTAATACTAACTAAACATAACTATAAACTAATTATTTAAATTCCGATCTCCGGCTTAAATACTGTGAGTGATATGAAAGACATTTTATTGATATAAATAAATGTATCCCAAAAAATAAAATTCAAATATCATATAAATTCTTGTAGATATTGATAAAAAAATAAAACAATTCATCAAATGTCAAACTTATAGACTTATATATAATATATTGGAAAAGTTGTAATTCTTGGTATAACTCGAGATTCAACTTAAAACAAACTCAAGAATATTTCAAATATAAGAATCATATCTATTATTATTTGACATTTTTATCAGATATATCTTTTTTCGTATAAATTTCTAGAATTAAATTAGAGGTGAATTTAAAAGAGTTAATATTCTTAAATATTAAATTATATAATTAATTCATTCGCTTACACATAATATTTAGAATATATAATTAATTAACATTTCTCAATAGGACAAAGTATATTTAAATTTAAACTATTTTAAATATTTAATTAAGATTTTTATTTAAATATACTAATAGTTAAATGACAAAATTATTCTTCTAATAGTCTAATTCACTTTCGATAATTATGTGGTTTATAAAATTGAAATTGGTAATCTTGCTCATTTAGCACTTAATAGCTAAATTGAAACGATATTACTTTTGGTTAACCAATAATATGTAAATCATTATTTATTTTAAATAAAGATTTAAGACTAAAGTGACCGTCAAGTAAAGTCATATTATGAGTTTAAAACTGAATGTAAATCAGGATTTATTTAAATTATTATAAGAAAACATTTTAGTCGTAAAATTAAAGGCTATGACAGACATCGCTATCAGAAGCCAACAGACCCTCAAAGCCACAGTCAATGGCCAAATGGGTTGAGTTTAAAGACAAATCGTTGCTATTTATAAGCAATAGCGAGAAATTGCGAAAAAATATATTTCAAACATAAATATATTTATTTCTTTAAGTCATAAAATATTAAATCAATTTTCAAACTTAAACGTAAAGCCATTTAATAAATAGCTTTCAATTGACGCGAAGGCCACTCAATGGTATCGAAATAATTATAATAATACAACAAAAAAGTGTCAGAATTTAGATAAAATTCATTTCATTTATTTAAAAAATAGGTTAACATTCATTCAACGGAATGATATATTTTTAGTAAACATTTCATGTATGAGTGGATTATAATTTAAATAAAAACAAAACCAATGGCAAAATGTAAAGGAAAAAACGTGGGCTTAATTTGATGTGAAGTTTCTCATGAGAGCGTCGGTCACCACCCGATGGATGAGTACGTGATTGGCTTAGTCTTGAGAAAGAGCTCATATTATCTAATACTTGTGATACATTGATAGACACACGAGAGGTCAGAGGCATCTAAAGGAGCGGAGAGTCTGACAGACAGGCAATCGAAATGAAATG